CTGTAGAAGTGTTAAATACCACATGAATTTCCATGAATGCTGCAGTAGAAAGTGATTGTAATGAAATGTAGTCATAACTCAGGCACTCTTTTATGAAAGTAAGTTTCAACATAATCTATAGCCTTGTGCTCTACTTCCTGTTCTTATTAAATTTTCAAATACTGTGACTTTAAAGATTTAAAAAGGTTTTTTTTTTTTGTAGATAAGTTTTTGGAGATAAAGCACTCAGTACACTGCCATTGAGTATCATCAACCTACTGGAAGACAATACAACAACTATTAAAGATAATATTTGGTGCTGTCTAATGGGAAAATATATCAATTAGCTAAAGATGAGACAGATGATCTACCATCAGAAATTAACTAGCAGCACACTGATAGTCCATATCTGAAAGGTAATAACTTCAATACCTATCTCAGAAACATCCAGAGTGGTTGCAAATATAACAGTGTTTTAACTAAAAGTAAATCTATCCAGTCAGAGACAAAATGACTTTCATGTACCCAACTTTCATCCATTGCCTATCTAAGGGAAGAGGTGAATAAAACGGTGAAGTTATCTGTTTCTACCTCAAACCTTCACTGTACGAACCAATGCAGTGACTACACAAAACACAGTAAGACATTGTTCACAGCCAGTCTCTCCAGATAGTCATTACAGGCAAAATGCCCCCAGAAAGGAAATACTACCCAGACTCACAAAGGTAAATTCATCTGTTGATACAAGAACTATTATTTCCTGATAGTGTTTTCAGGCACCAATAACCAAAGTTCAGAAATGGAATGTTGTCAACATGACAGAAAACTACTCAAGAAAGACATGTGGAAAATATCCACAGGGAGCAGAATGAGGTACTGTGTCTAATAAATGACATTTAATTTAAAGAGATGTTTGTCCTCACTGAGGATTAGAGCATGTTTCTCCATTGATGGGAGATGTCATTCTGTAAATATGTTTCTCTTATTGATCAATGAATAAAGCACTGTTGGCAAAAAGGAAAGCAAGATAGGTGGTACTAGGAGACAAAGAGGATTCTGGAAGATGTAGTAGGAGATTTAACTTGTGGAGACTTGAGAAAACAAAGGTCCAAACCTTCTCTCTGGTAAGATAAGACCACATGGAAATAGATTAATAGAAATGGGTTAATATTTAAGACAGAGCTATCCAATAAAAAACACTAGTAACAGGTCAACCACTTTGTATCTAATACAGCGTCTATGTGTGTTATTTGGGGCTGAAGCCAGAACCTTTGGGTTCTGGAAGGTTTTGATCTTTTTTAAAATTAAATTTTGTCTTTGAAAACTTCATACATGTATGTATATAATGCAGTCTAATTAGTCATGTTGCACCCCTTCCCATCTTCCTCTTATTCCTTCATTGTGTTTTGTGACACACTAAATTTAACCCAGGTTTACTGTGTGACTGAGGATTTGAGACTATCTAGTGGAGCCTAGTAGGCTAAACTATGGATACACAGCTGAAGGTGATGCTTCCCCTCCCTAAGAATCTACCAGTAGCCAATAGTTCATTATGGTAGGGCCCCATGAATCCCTATCCATAACTGAAAATTGATAGGTCCAGTTCCTGCATGCCCAGAGCAGACAACCACGGCTGCTGTAATTTCATGATCGCAGTGGCTGTCTCAAATCCATCAGAAAACAGTGTCTCACAATCCTTTCTCCCTTTCCTTCCCAACCCTCCTTCATGGTATTCCCTGAGCTATAGACGAAATGATACAAGTATCCTGTTTAAGGCTGGACACTCAGTTGTCCCCTTCCTAGGGTGGGATTTTGTGTTAGCAACAATAGTTGCAGAGAGAAGCTTCTCTGATAAAGGCTGAGAGTCACATTTTTCTGAGTGCAAACAAATGTTCAGAAGATAGGTTGATCCCATGTCAGCTTAGCTAAACAGTACTCATTTTCCCTCTAGGACCTATAAGCTCTTTAGTTGTGGTGTTTGGACTTTATTTATAGTATCAAGTATGAATTCCCTCCCATAGATGGGTCTCAAGACCTTTCAGAGGTCAATTTGTCACCTGCTACCACTTGTGCCATTATTTCCAGTGTGGGCACAACTTGGCTGGCAAGTTGGCATTGATTTTCTAGGATTCACATATGACTAAAACTATTAATGCCTTTCTCCAGTCATCTTTCTTTATAGATGAGTAGAATTCCAATATGAACCATATTTGCATTATCTGTTCATCAATTGATGGACATCTAGCCTGATTTCATTTTCTAGCTATTGTGAGTAGAACGATAGCACTGATGAGCAATTACCTCTGGAGCAGGATATAGAGTTCCTCCAGTATATACCCAGCAGTGATAATTCTGCTTCTTGCTGTTTCATTATCTTAGTGGAAGCACCTCACTGACAGTGAGGAAAGGTTCCTCCTTTGCCATTATTCTTACCAGAATTTGTAGCCCGTTCAATTCTTGATGGCAGCCATTTTGACTAGGGTATGATGAAATCTAAGAGTTTTAGTTTTGATTTTTAGTTCTTTGGATATTCTAAATATTAATAAATTTTCAGATATGCAGCTGACAATGATTTTCTTCCATTCTGTAAGAGTATCTTCACTCATTTGACCATTTTCTTTGTTGCACAGAAGCTGCTTAGTCTCATGGAATTCCATATGTCAATTTTTATTATTTCCTGAGCAATTGAAGGCCTATTTAGAAGTTCTTCAGATAATCGTGGTTTAGAAGAAATAATATTGCAAGAATGACTACCATGCAAAAAGCTACTTATAGATCCAATGCAATCCCCATCGAACTCTCTAATCTATTATTTTCAAAAATAGAAACACGGACCAAAGAAACACAAAATACATTAGGCATCCAGATCCTGGGCTGAAAGAACAATTTTTGAGGTATTACCATACCTGATTTCAAGATATACCACAGAGTCAGAGAAATAAAAAAAAATGTGGTTCTCTCACAGAAACAGACATGTGAAGTTACAGAATGGAGACATGCACAATTAATGTAGCCTGATTTTTAGCAAAGATGCCAGATGTGCATGCTAGAGAAAAGACAGCATCTTCCCCAAGTGTTGGGGAAACTAGATGTTTACACATAGAAGAATGGAACTAAATCTTTACCTTTCACCCTGCACAAAAATAAACTCTAAATGGATTAAAGACTTTGTGAAATCTGGAACTCTGAAGCAACTAGGCCAAAAGAATGGGAAAAGGGGTGTAATACAAGATAAGTCTAAGGAAGGACGTTTTAAGTGGGACTCTATTGTGCAGAAAACAAGGCCAAGGCCCGATTCCCTTATACGTGATAAAGAACAATATTCACAGAGAGTGAGTCCACAGGAATAAAAGAAGAAAATCAAGTTTTTGGAACAAATTTAAAGGAATTAAGAACAGAAATCACAGTAAGAAATGTAAGACAGAGAGTGTATAACAGGCAAAAATGGGGGAGACAGATGTCACTAGTTCCTAATTCCTTACCAGTATTGTATGCACTTTAGAAGTATCATAGTTTAACATTTTCATAAACAGCAAAACAAGGGAAGAAAAGAGAACCAAAATTTATACTGTGGACAGAAAAGGAGAAATATATTGAGTTCAAATGCAGCTTTTGACAGCCTTTCTTTTAAGAAAAATTGTGCTAAAAATATTTTCTCAGTAATGTCCCTAGAGGTAGACGTAAGTCTTTTAAGATGACAACACAACATCAAGAGAGAAGTTATCTAGGAAATACATAAGATGTATAAAAATAATAAAATGTCTTGTGCTTGACGATGTCAAGGAAATATCTGTGTTTTTAAAACAACCTTTACATTAACATGGTGATCCCCATTCATCAACAAGAATGTTTCAAAATCCCCAGTGGTTGTTGGAACCATAAATAATTACAAATCCTATATACAATATGGTGATACTTGTATTCCTTACTGAAGGAAGCCAATATTACCAACAGGGAAGGCAGCATATATAGCATGGAGACTGCCCAAAAGGATTAGTTCATGTCCTGGATGGAAGAATTCTGTCACACAACTCAGACTCATGTACATTTCAGTGCTTAGGACTGGCTACTTTGTGGGGATTACTATTTAATATTCTTGACAATGTTTGACTGTAGAAAGCAAAGGGGTGGTATGTAGAAAGAAAAAGATACAGTATAAAATGTCCTCGAATATCAAATTTGTTTTCCATTGGTTGATTTTAAAGTTTTATTTAAGGAATAAAGGTTTGTTCATATATAATGTATGGTTAGTCTATATTGGGATTTTGGAACCATTATCTTAGATACCTTTTCTTGAAGACAATACTTATATTTTTATTATTTTAATGTAAATTCTCCATATGTAAATGTTATATGGGATTTTTGTTATTGTTTTTTATTATTTTTTTATTTTTGTTTTTTTATTTTTTCTTATTTTACATATTGATTCCAGTTCCCTCTCCCTTCTTCCCTCCCTCTTTCCCTCTCTCCCTCCCTCCCATGCCCCCGACCACCCTCCCATCCTATTCCCCCCTCCACTCCACAGGGAGGGTGATGCCTTCCAGGAGGGATCAACAAAAGCTGTCAAATCATTTGGAGTAGGGACTAGGTCCTCCCTCCTGCCTCTAGGTTAAGGGGGTATCCCTCCATGGGGAATGTGCTTTATGTACTTTTAAATTGCTTAAATGTTACTCAAACAATAGATAATTATTGTGCACTGTTGAAATTCTAAGCTCCAAAATATAATATTAGCTATAAACTCAAAATTGACAGTATATTTGTACATATAAAACAATGTTATCTTGTGAAATACCAAAACAGTTTTGTCATATAAATAAGTTTAAAACTTGCATGAATGTGTGGAGAATCATAGATATTGGGTATTATCTTCAAATTCCCCAGTGTTTTATAAGAAAGATATGTAGGTAATGTTCAAGTATATTATTATTGTTGTTGTTGTTTTTATTATTATTTTTTACAGTCCAGGTCTTTTATTTTATTTATTTATTTATTTATTTATTTATTTATTTATTTATTGTACATTAGGCCATGAGTTTATATAGAATGGGCTCCAGCAGCTCATGCTCCTTCTGGTTTGTTCTCACAAAGTGTACTTCTCTGGGTGGTGCAGGCTGGCGCTTGAGCTGAGCCCAGGTGCCCTTCTCCTTGGCTTTCTTTTTCTTCTGGCCATTCTCCTTCAGCCGCTTCAGGAAGCTGTCTCTGCTCTTAGAGTGTTCGATGTGCTCAATCTGCACATTAATCCTCTTGGCGAGAATCATGCCCTTAACTTGCTTGTTTGCAATGATGCCCTCTGCATGCTGGGTGACACTGTAGACTCTTCCCGTTTTGCCATGATAACACTTCTGGGGCATTCCTTTTTGAAAAGTGCCCATTCCTTTGATGTCTACGATATCACCCTTCCTGTAGATTCACATATATGTGGCAAAGGAACAACTCCGTGCTTCCTAAATGCCTAGAGAATATATAGCGAGTGTCCCTCCTCTTCCCCTCTTGTTTGTTATTTTATAATGTACACTATGCACGTCGGCACCTCCACCATGTCCCACTTGCCTCCTCCTAACCTGCCCATCTGCCAAGGCACAGGATTCGAAGCCTCACTCATTCTTCTATGCAGTGAGCTCTGCATTTCTCTGTATTTCCGCCTTCACAGACCAGCTACAAGTTTTTTTTCTGGTTATCTCCTTATTTTTATATCAAAGTTCAGAAATATGAATGTCCTACTTTCATTTCCCATTGCTATGACAAATACCCTGATAAAAATATCTTAGGAGAGAAAGGATTTTTAGATCACAGTTCTTGTTTACAGCCCACCATTTCAGGGAAGTTGAGGTGGCAGGAAATAGACACATCTAGTCATGTCACATTCACATACAAGAGCAGAGAGGGAAAAAAAATACACCTGGTTACTTGTGCTTCAACCCCTTTATACACTTAACATAGCCCAGTATCCCCTGTCTAAGGAGAATGTCGCCACCTACGCTGTGTAGGACTTACCACCTCAACATCCCCAAGACAGTCTCCCTTGGGAGATGTCCTCGACCAGGCCACTAATGGTAATTCTCCACTGAGACTCTTTCCAGGTGAGTCTACATTATGTCAAGTTGACAATTGAAAGTAACTACTACTCTGAACAACCCTGACCCTGAAGAAATTGTGTTGCATGAAATGCCTTACTTTTGTTTTATATCCTCACAAACTCTGTGGTTCAAGAACGTTGTTGTCTTTTCATTCAGTTATAAGTCCTACACTTTCTTTACAGCTTTAAAAAATATTATTCTATTTTCTATCTCCATTTTTAATTTTGTGTGTCTATACATATGTATATACATATGTCTATACATATGCATGCATGCATGTATGTATGTATGTATGTATGTATATATATAGTGTGTTAAGTATAATGCTTCCTGAACCCATTCATATCAGGAAAATAATGGCCAAATTTATTTGTTGTTGTATGTCAGGATAATGGGTAGTTTTATCAAAACACTGTAGTGACTGGAAGTAGAGACTGGAAGATTGTTTCATGTTTTATCTACATACTTGTTTGAAAAATATATCAATCTTTACAATTAATATATTTGTACTATAACCCATTCAATTCCTATCAAAATTTCTAAATTTTGTTTCTTGCTATTGTAGTAAGTGTTAGGGAGCATCAAAGGTAAATGCATTGCATCCCAACATCTCTTCCCTGGGATGTTGCTTTTAACTGGCTTCCTGTTATCCATGTTCACACTTTTCCAGCATATTTCCCACATGACCCATAGTGTGCTAACTCTGTATAAATATGAAGGTGCATATGTCTGCAAATTTGATTACATCAGCTCTGTATTTAAACCTTATTTTTTTATTTTATTATGTTGATATACTTAATGAATGCTGCAGTTTCTTAATAAAAATTAAATGCACAATATTGTATTTCAAACCTTCTATCCATGAAGCATAAAATCTGAGTCGCTCAAGATGTGTAAATGCTAAGAAGTGTAACAGCACGCTGAAATCTTAAATAGCAATATGGGTCAATCTCAGTTTGACTTTGTGTTTCAGGCACACTGACTTTTTTCCTTCCACCAAAGTTTTGATTATTTTATGCTCTAAAGGTTTCTTACATTTTATGCTTTTCCTTTCCACCTTTTCCCATTTTCTGCCCTGCCCAACACTATCTAAATGAGAACTCGATTTAAGTCCCATTACTCCAGAGAAAAATATTCTGGGTGTCTGCTTTAGCTCCATCCTCAGTTTCAGGTCAGATCCTAAGATCATGTGTTTCAATCAAGCTTGCTTTAAGCTACATACAAGAAAAGCAAGCAAGCAAATAACTACAGCAAAATGTTGCCTGCCCATGATAGAATTTTATTCTTCCCTTATATAAATGAAGCCCTAAGTAAGCAGAGAGAAGTGCATATTACAGCACTGTATCTAGGAAGGACCCAGGCTCCTTCCTTTATTCTGTTAGAAAATCCTTAGCATAGGAATGTCAACTTCATGTTTAACAAACCATCACAAAATGCTACCTGCTCTGACCATCTTGTCTAATTCTGAGCTTCAGGAAGGAGGAGTTACAAAGCCAAAAGCCTCTAGCTAAGTCATGCCCTGACGAGTGAGCTTTTCCCTTACCCAATGACTTTTGTTTACTCCTTTCAATCATTCATGGCTACAGTAAATCATTCAATTTCCTCAGTCTACAAACTTAAAGTTGGAAATATTGACTTGATAGATGTGGGGTGTTTTACAGAAAATGTGGGTGGAAAGGAACAAGCGATTATAAACTTTGCTTATACTGTTTCTATTTAGTTGTGTATGTGTGTAATCCCTACATGCCTGTTTCCATCTTCATAATACAGAGTACAGAGGGGTGTGAATCAAGTCTCCATCCTGGAATCCAATTGATAAATGAATCACAATATATATTGAATAAAGATATTTGGTTATATGTGGTATAATGTTGAGTTGCCCACAATCTGGATTTTTGCTTTGTTTTTGTAATATTAATTGTATAGAGCTTCCTGTTGACTAGCTTCAATACTGAATAACATAGTTCATGTGGGATTTAGCCAATAAATATACCAATTACTTTTTCATAGACTTTGAGGGGAAATTTCTTCTTAGTGCAACTGGTATATATTCAAAATTTATAGGTTTTATAAAGTACCTGACTGAGCCCCAACTGCCATGGCCTTTCAGGTCCACCTGAAGTTAATGTTCATAATGGATCTCAAGAAGAACATTTTGCCAAGTTTATATTTTACACCAGCTCACATGCTAAGTTTTAAAAATCGAGCACTAAATTGAGTAGACCCGGTTCATTTGCCCTTGGTAAAACACAGCTTCCATAAGAATAGCTTATGTAGCTGATTGGAGCTCTTGTAAAATCTGTAAGATTTCCAAGGGAAATAAACAGGTCCGAGAAAGAAAACAACCAATAGTCATCTGAAGATGTTTTGGAGACTCTGATGTGCAATAACCAACATCCAGTAGTAGGCAGGTGGAAAAAAAAATAACACAGGTCAAGCACATTTTAGTTTAAGAAAATCTCAGGTCTGCATGCAAACACTTATAGTGAAGATGAGGGTAAGAATTTTAGAGAGAATTATTTCTCAAAATGTACAGCATCTTAATGTCATATGCATACCATTCTGCTGGGAGCTAGACAGCTCTTGCAGCCAAGATGTCACTATTATTTTAAATGAAAGCTGTTTATTTACTTTACTTCATGAAGTAGTAGTGGGATGACTGAGAGCTTATGGGTCCTTACTCTAACATTTATGAAGGGAAGTAGAAAACGAAATGATATATGTTAATATGTGTTCTTTCCTGATTGAATTATTTCTAATCTTCTCATCTATTATTTATTTATTTATTTAATTTTACATGTCGATCCCAGTTCCTTCTCCCTCCCCCCTCCTTCTCATCTTAAAATCTTTAAACTCTCTCAGGCAATGAAAACATATCAACTATGGAGCAGTGTCTGACATAGGAATTTTGGTAAAAAGAAAGAATGAACCACAATGAAGGAAACAAAATAATCTTTCTTCTCCAAAACTATTCAGAGGCATAATTTGTTTATGCTTTGCTCTAAATCTCAGGTGACATAACAATGCTTGGGCTGCAATGCTAGACAGAACAGATGTGAGTCCTGGCCTCTAAATTTCACATAGTCACAGGCTCACTTCCTTAGAAAAAGAAAGATCATGACCATCAGAGTCAGAGCTCAGATGTTCCATTTTAAAAGTATTTTAAGCAGAAACCAATGATAATGGAAATAACTAATTAATTGCAAGTGAAGCTCCTTCACAACTGCCCTGGAAAATATCTCACTCATTAAAGAGCCCAAGACTTTAGCATTAATGCTTACATGAAGACCCAAATATGTATATTTGTTGAGCCATGCCTGAGGGATTCTACTAATTCCAATTACTAATGCCATTTTGGGGTGCATATACTTTATTTATGAATTGTCTTAAATATGTCCTCATGAATAAGTAAAGCAAATTGTCAGGACTTCAGGCTGAGCTGCCATGCTGTGGGCATTGACCAGATGCTGTGAACCAGTGTTCTTTTGCCCCATACTGATATTGTCACACTGTCCAACTTGCTTTAATTTCTGTTGCCAAAGCAGCTATAGTTCATAACCTTATTGAAGTCATAAAAAGTAGCAATGCCATGTATGCTGTGGGCACTTTGTCCAGTCATATTTGCATCTTGTATTTTTTCGTGAAAAGGAATATCTGGGCACTGCTTTTCCCACAGTATACTGTATTTTCTGAGAAGGCCATTCGACCCTCTGAGGAAAGTAAAGCATCCACATCTCTCACCTATATAATTAACACAGGAGACTAGAGTACTGGTGCTTTGTGTTTAGATGAAATAGTAGACTGCAGGATCAGTCTAAATCTGAAGAACCAAATACTATGACAGTGGTCATCTAAACTTAGGTTTAAAGCAGCAAAATAGAACAACATTTACAGTTTGAGTGAAAATCAGTGGTTTTTTTTCTTCCAGTTTTCAATGCATAGTTTTCCTACAATAAGTTTAAATATTTTCTTTAATAATAGGATTGGCCAAGGTCATGGCAGACTCAATATCCCATTATTGTTATGTACCACATTTTCTTTTCTTTTTAATCTATAAATTGTGACTCTGGTCACTTCAACGCTTGGTGATATGCATAACTCAGCTGTTAATACCCAATAACAGCTTATTGCTTAGGCATGTCTTCATATATCATGACAGAATCCATATCAGTGGAATTTCTAGCTCATGCAATAATTCTGTGTTTATCATTTTGAGGAAATTCTCCTTTTGTCCCACAACAATTATATCATTTTTCACTTTCACAAGCATGGTG